ACACAATTCAACATTTAATATAGGAAATTGGGAAAATTAATAAAAATAAGTCTACACTCTCAAGGGTACACATAAAATCCTAAGAAATAATGGAAAAACAAAGGTTTTCAACAGTATTAATACCTAGGGAAACACATTTAACCCAAAACTCTAGCAAAAATTATTAAACCTTAGAATAGAGGAATACTCAACACTAAAATTGATCAAAAACTTTTCTAATAAAAAAAAGTAAAATTCTCAACTTTATGCACATATTCAATAGAAAACACTTAACTCAACACTAAATTGAGAATGAACATCATAACAATCACAAATGATTGACATGTTAAAAGAATGAAATATTGCAAATGAGGAAGAAATACTAAGAATATAAAAAGATAGTCCATGCTGAAAAATAAAAAGAGGTTGAGAAAGAACAAAATACAAAAAAAAAGGATCAAATGGTAAATTGAAAGATTGATACTTACCCCATGAAATTTCTAACTCGTCTTCAAAACTATCCTTAAAATATTCAAATTCTTTATCAACAAGAATCCACTTAAACTCATAAATATTATCTTCCCATAAATTTGATTCTTGAACATTCTCCAAAAACCAGATTACATCATCTATAACTCTTCAATTGATATCATAATCACATTCTATATCAGTAGGAGATGTTAGAACATTAAAAATATGAGAAGCTATGTAATCATGTCCCAAAGAAGCTAGAGATAGCAATACACTAAGGACTGAAATAACACTAATATGATCACACCTAACAACACCAAAAGCTTGATTTAACAAAGTAGTTTCAGTAGCTTTAATTAATATACTCCTTGATGAATAACAGTGTGAAAAAGGGAGATTAGACAGAATAGTAAATTTAAGCATAAAAATAGCTAGAATTCTAGATCTAGTGTTCAAAATTGTTCTTTTTATTCTTATTCTTTTGTTCTTTTTTAGATTTAGATTTGTATTAAATTTTTGCTGAGCAAATCACTACCAAAAAACTTTGCCTAAAGATAAATTATAATGCCCCAATGTGAGTGCTCAAAATATGGGAATATGTATTTTAGTTAGGGTTTAAACAACTATGTATATACAAGAATGGATGAATCAAATTTTCCCAAATAAATGGTCTATATGCTAAAGTATTATAATTAGTGTATTACTAAAAAAAAAGTAAAATTCTCAACTTTATGCACATATTCAATAGAAAACACTTAACTCAACACTAAATTGAGAATGAATATCATAACAATCACAAATGATTGACATTTGTGATATATACACATACATACATATATTTTTATGCTTAAATGTATATGTGTATATGTATATGTATGTATATTTGTATATGTGTATATGTATGTATATGTGTATATGTATATATGTGTATATGTATGTATATGTGTATATGTATATATGTATATATGTATATGTATATGTATATATATATATATATGTATATATATATGTATATGTATATGTATATATATATATGTATATGTATATATATGTATATGTATATGTATATATATATGTATTTATAGACCTTAAAAATTGAGGAATTGGCATATATATGCTATAATTGAATGAATAGACTGTAACGTCAAAGAAAACAAACTTTATTATAATGACTTTTAGTGTTCTTACTTTTGCTTTATGAAAGAATACAGTTAATAAGTGAAAATGGAAATTCACTTTAAACACAATCTAGAATATTTATAACAAAGTTAGGAGTTTATAATTAATAGCTCTTCTAAAATATTTTTTATTATTAACTTAAAATGATTTTTAAACTCTTTTTGTTATTTACATTTTTTATTTTATCTTATGCTCAACCACCTCAAACTAGATGGATTGGAGGTTTGGGTCATTTTGGTAATCAGCACATTAGAAGAATTATCTCTCAACTTAGACTTTTAATAGAAAGTATTGATATTAATCAACCAATTGTATTGAACAATCATAACTTTTATCTTTATGATACTATTGCTGCTGGTTACCAACAAGTTATGATTAGAATTTATGTTGTTCCTTCAGGTTTTAGAAACTTTATTAATTGTAATCCACTTCCTGCTAATTATCAATTTAGTGGCCAATATATTCAAAATATTTTCTTAGAAATTTTACGATTAGTAGAGTATCATGCACAAAGATATGGTTTAGGAATGATTGGTACTGTATATAGGTATTTTTCAATAGATTATTTTACATTTGGAAATAATCCTGCAAGACATTCTACTGAACCATATCCTGATGTATCCTATCCAAAAGGATTACCTGATGATTCTAATCCACCTCCTGAGATATTTGATATTAAAAAAGATATTGATACTTCTCAGTGTTGGCCATATCGAGCACAACTAATAAATGGTCCTTTAACTTTTTATGGCACATATATAATAAATAGTAATAGTTTAATTTCTCCAACTAACAAATTTAGAGCTAAATTAATAAAGTGTAATCTAGTAATTGATGATATTAAAACTAACAAGAATATATGGTCTACAATGTCAGAAAGAAGTGATATTTTGTGTTATCTTCACCTCAACCCAGAGGAACATTTACTCATAATAGATAAGGATAATAATATTATAGGGAAAAATAATAGTTTTGGTAAAAATGTAATAATATTTGCTGTTTTAACAATAGAAGATACTGGACACTTACTAGTAACATCTTATAATAATAGGATGAAAAAGATAATTGGAGAAATAAATTTTAAACAAAACTATAAAATAGAAATAATATTTATTCTGGCACTATTCTCACATTGTTGAGTCCTTAACTTTATCTCATTTATTATTTTAATGTTATTATTTTATTATGTATTTAATGTTCTTTATGGCCTTTATTTTTTATTTCTGATTCTTCTTCATTTTATTGTTGCTGCTCTTGCTCACAATGGTGAATCCATCCTACTGCTCATCTCCATATGAAGACTGCCAAAAAGAACATCATGGTTGGAGAGTCATTCAAACCTAGATCTACACACCTAGCTCCTTTAAAGACTTATTAGATACTCTAAGCATCTACTATAGAATGAAAACTCCCATTTCATTTTCCATTTTGTAGCAAATATATCCTTCTACTAATTGTCCTTAAAGTTTTGGTACACAATGATATCATAGCCTTCTACAACTCTATACAAAACTAGCTTAGCTTTTACGTATTACAAAGGTATGGCTTTGCAAAATCTAAATAGAACCTCAAACTGCTGATCTCCTCTATATTTTTGCTCTTCTATTCTTTGTTTTAGATGCCACAGCAAGGATTGATGGCAAGGATCTTATGAATGGAAGCTATAAACACCATCTAGAGTTGGTAGTATACAAGTTTAAGAATCTTACCTCTCATTTGTTGTTCTATTATTTGAGTTTTCTTCTTTATCAAAGTAGTTGAATGTTAATGAAAAACTCTGGCACGAGATAGAAGACAAAAAGGAACTACGACTCAGTTTAGCACTAAGAAAGCTACTTGAAACGAGTTATCCCAACATAAGAACCAAAATTACCATTATTAAATACTCAAGAATACAAAAGATAAACAAGTGATGGAGTGTAGTGCATTTTATCTCTCTTTAAGTTAATTGGAAAAGCGAAAAGAAATCTTAATAATGTTATTTATCTTAAATCTCAATATCACATGCGCTAAGAGTAGAGTGTGCCCCCAGGAGGCCCAGAATGCAATCGCAAACTCTCTCATGTGAAGCCATGCAAAAGATCTCTAGGTCAAGAACTACACTCTTGGTTATGGGCAACATCATTTTTGAAATGACCTTTTTATTCACCGATTCGGACACTAGCTTTAGAAATTAATGAAGTTTCTCATTTACAGTGTTTCGTATATATCACCAATAATCGTTACACGAACACATGCCATCCAGAAAGTGATGGAACCGGTTTGTGTCCCGGACCAAGATCTCTCGCCCAGTGACCTTGGAGATGACCTTGGTAGCGGCATGGCAGTCCGAGCACACCCGCAAGTTTTTGACGATCCGCAGTGGAGCGCCTGGAGGGGTGCTGATGAGCCCAAATGCAATCGCCAGCTTCTCGCTGTGGTACCAAAGCAAGTTCTCCTTCTCGTCCTCCTCGACATCCTGGAGCACCACTTTGGTGTCTTGGAAGTACCCTGCTTCCTTCATTTGCCTGCCCAGCCGCTGGATCTCCGCGTAAATTTCGTCTCTCTGCGGATGCATCTTGTCTCCGGCGATGAACTCGTGCACTCGATCCAAGACCTCTATCCAACTGCATCCAGGCTTCTTTTTTATTCCCCGCTCCTCCATAAGCTTCCGGATCCTGGCCGCGTCCTTGGGCCGTTTAGCCGCCGAGTAGATGTTGGCAAGCGTGATGTATGGAGACGAATTCTCGGGGTCAAGCTCGAAGACCACCTCGGCAGCGGCCTCTCCTCTCTCCACATCCGTGTACAGCTTGCAAGCGCTGAGCATCGTCATGTAGAGCAGCGGCCCCGGATGGAATGGCATGAGCCGGAGCAAATCCTCGGCATCGCGGAGCTTCCCAGCCCGGCCAAGAACGTCCACCATGCACGCGTAGTGCTCCAGCGTCGGCTCAACCTGAGTGTCTCCAACAATCGACCGAAAGAAATCCCCCGAGGCCTCCACCACCCCCGAGTTGCTGCACGCGAAGAGAACGCTGATGAAGATGATATCGTCGGGGAGAGTTCCTTCGCTAAGCATCCGGTGGTAAAGCTCCATTGCCTCGTCCACGCGACCGCGCTGAGCAAAAGCCGAGATCATCGACGACCACGAGATGACGTCCCTCCTCCTCATGCCGTCAAACACGATCTTGGCATCGCCCAGTGAGCCACACCTCCCGTAGAAGTTCACCAGCGCATTGCACACGACCAAGTCCGTGTCGAAGCCCCTCTCGGCGACGGCGGCGTGGATCTTCCTCCCTTCCGCGAGAGCTCCCAGAAACGAGCAAGCATCGAGCAGGGTGATGAACGTCACCCGGTTTGGAGCCATCCCCTTCCTCGCGGAGCCCATCTCCCGGTAGAGCTCCAGCGCCATCCTCGCATGCCCGTTCTGGGCATACGCGGCAAGCATCGCACTCCAGGACACGACGTTGGGCCGAGAGATTTTCTCAAACGCTGCTCGGGCCTCCTCCACGCTCTGGCATTTGCCATACATGTTCACCAGCGCAGTGCCAACGATCACATCGACCTCCAAACCGGCACCCGCCACCCGAGAGTGAACTCTTCTCCCCTCTTCCAGCGATCCTGGAGTGGTAAAACCACTGAGCACTGTCACATACGTCACCTTGTTCCTCTCCACGCCTCGGATCTCCATCTCTGTGTAGAGCTCCACCGCCTGGGCTGGATGCCCGTTCTGGGCATATGCCGCGATCATCGAGTTCCAGGCCACCGGATCTCTCTTGTTCGCCTTTGTGAAAAGCTCTCGCGCTTGATCGAGCCGTTTGCACTTGCCATACATGTTGATCAGCGCCGAGACGATGACGTGATCCCGGTCGTAGCCCTGGGACGAGATCCTTGCGTGGAGCAGCTTGCCAGCCGCGAGATTTCCAGAGATCGAGCAGGCGCCGAGGACATTGAGCAGCGTGATCTCGTCCGGATGGATACCCTCGCAGTCCATGGCCCGGAACGCGGCGATGGCCTCGCTGCCGCAGCCATTCTGCGCGTAGGCGCCGATCAGGATGGTCCAGGAGAAGAGATTCTTGGCGAGGAGATTGTCGAAGACCGCTCGCGCGTCGACGACGCTGCCGCATCTGCCATACATCTGGATCAAGAAGCTGCCCACGTACCGATCCCTGTCCAGGCCGCAGCTCGCCGCGATTGAGTGGACGCGCCGGCCCTCCGCGATCGCCCCCGCATTGCCGCATTCCTTGAGCAGGTCGGAGAAAAGCCCGCGCTCGCTGGCCACGCCAGGATTTCGGGCAAGATCCTCGATCGCCTGCCTCAACCTGTTCCGCCCCTCTGGATCGCCGTCTTGGATGTGATCTTTGGAAAACCTGTGCCTCGCAGAGAGGCTCGTTGGCCGACTCTCCTGAAGCTCTTGGTGGTGCCTACCCGGGAAATCCAAAAACAGAGTGGAACCGAGCACAAGCATATTCTGCCCTAGATTCTCGATCTAGTTTTGTCGAACAAAGTGTTATAGAAATTCCTGAGTGGACTGACTGATCATGACTGTAAGTTGCCAATGGAGAATGACTTGGATCAACTTCTAATCAACTCACAGACTCTACCAGCGCACTGAGCCTACCTATAAAATAACTAAAAGAGAGTGTACTCATAGAACAAAAGAAAAAGAGAGTCTAGAGAGAGCCTAGAGAGCTTAGAGAGAGAGAGAGCGCTTTAACTGATTTTGATCTTCAATGCTGCGGCTCAGCATCCATGCCGCTCTGGCAGCAGCAGCGGCAATCTCTTGTTTCTCTTGCTTGATCTGCGCAGCAGGAGTGGAGCGCGATGGATCCAGCACCACCAGGCTCCACTTCTTCATGCACGACATGGTAAATCTCCAGAACCCAGCCAACGCCACCACCGCGCTCGTCGCCGGCCCAAAGAACAACCTCGCCACATTGGCATCGCTGGGATCCGTGATGGTGATCGACGACAAGCTCACCGAGGGGCCATCCCCGGACTCGCCCCTCGTCGGCCGAGCACAGGGCTTCTACATGAGCGACTCGACCTCCATCTCCAGCCTGGGCCTCTTCATCACATTCACGGCGGTGCTCAACAACGGGACCATCAGCTTGCACGGGCAGGACAATGTTCTGGACCGGGAGCGCGAGATCGCCGTCATCGGTGGCACCGGCGCGTTTAGATCCGCCGCGGGCTACGCGATCATCTCCACCAACAAGATGATCCCGCCGCTGTCTGTCATCCTCGATGTGCAGGTGTTCTTGAGGTTGCGGGCCTCGTAATTTCTTCTTTGCCACTGGCTCGGGTAGTCAAGATCCTTGCCACCGTCAAAACGGAAAGGAAAAATAAAGAGAAGTCTCTCTACTTCACAGCGGTCTCCAGTGTGAAGTCTTTGGAATCAAGACCACCTAACGTTGGATCTGTTTCTTCTCGTTGCAAGTTCGCTACTTTCTACAGTCAGGGCCCTCGAGAAAGTCCCTGCCACCATGGCCCACTAATTGGCCACTTCCATCTCCTGGGAAGATCCCCCCGCCAATCGACCCGAGCATTGTATGGCTTCATTTTCTCAGCATTCAGTCGTAATCTAGAGCTCTATTGCAAAAATGATTAACATTCAATGCAGGTGTACCACTCTGAAATGACCTAAGGATGTTGTCAGCACGAAAAAGAAGACCTTTACCACAATTTCGGTGCAAATCAACCGACCAGTCTATCTTTAAAATCCTTCTCGTTAGAAAGGAACGTGAAAGAAAAACGTTCGGTAAGCAACAGTCTTGGAGATCACCGAGGGAAAAAGAAGCGCCTCTTTCACCTGAAACGTAGAGCCCAGAGCTCTGCTGTAAATGTTTTGTGATTCCTACCTTGGACGCTGCGCAAATGCCATGCTCACACTGTGTCATATAACAGCTTGTCCTCTGCACGAAAGTCATTGGTGTCAATTGCGATGCAACCTTTATAGAATCGTGGCCCACTCGATATGGATGTTTGATGTTTGTCTTGCAATGCCTTTCCAAAAATGCGATCGGCCTGCCTTCCCAAATATAATTGCCATCCCGGGACCTCCATCCAAATTCCCTCCTTTCCTTCCATTCGATGGACCTTGTCACCGCTTTCATTGTGCTCCTCGTGATCTTGCTCCCGATTCTTCGAGGCCTCTTTCAGCGGTCGCGGTTACCACCATCACCATCTTTCGGACTACCACTAATCGGCCACCTCCATCTCCTGGGAAGAATGCCTCACCAATCCCTCCAAGCGCTGGCCAAGAAGCACGGCTCCATTCTCTTCCTGCGACTTGGGATTATCCCTGCTGTGGTGGTTTCTAGCGTTGATCTGGCAAAAGAAGTACTCAAGAATCAGGATTTGACATTTGCTTCCAGGCCTTACTTTCTTGTCGGAGAGGATGTTGGCTACCACTTCATGGGGATGTCCCTCGCAGGTTACGGTGATCACTGGAAGAAGTTGCGGAGACTCTACACTTTGGAGCTCTTCACCGCTAAAAGGATTGATTCTTTCCTCTCGCTGCGCTTGGAGGAGCTCTCTCACATGCTGTCAGCTGTGTTATATGCACACGAGAAGAATCAGGCCGTAAACATGAGGAACCTCTTGACATGTTTTACCTTCAACACCATCACCCGGATCTTGATGAACAAGAGGTACTTCCAGCACCAAGGAGAGGAGTTGCAAGGCATTGATTCCAGCGAAGCTAGTGTTTTCAAGGCCGTCTTGAGCGAGATCACAGAGATCTCCCTGCAGTTTCACATCAGCGAGTTTGTTCCAGCCTATCTCAGGTGGATGGACTTGAGCGTTTATCACATGAGGAGGCTGCATGCTGACCAGGACAAGTTTCTGCAAAAGATTGTCGATGAACATAAGTACGAGAAAAACAAATCCTCAAAGGACTTCATGGACCTCATGCTAGAGCTTTTCGATGGGGATCCCAAAGGAGACAACATGATAAAAGCTGCAATGACAGTAAGCCAAAGGCAATATTTTAGTCTCAAAACCAGGAACTTATTAAACTTACTTGCAGGAGCTTGTGTCAGCCGGAACAGAAACATCAGCAACTACTGTCGAGTGGACCTTCGGAGAGATCCTCCACCGTGCTCCACACGTCTTGACCAAAGCTCATGAGGAGCTCGACTCCGTTGTTGGACGCTCCCGGCTGGTGGACGAGGCCGATCTTCCACGCTTGCCTTATCTCCAAGCCATTATCAAGGAAGCATTTCGACTCCATGTCCCTGTTCCACTGCTTGTGCCTCACATGTCGATGCACGAGGCCAGTCTAGATGGCTATCACGTTCCAAAAGGAGCCACTACCATCGTCAACGCTTATGCCATCGGACGAGATCCAGCTCTGTGGGACAATCCCCTCGAGTTTCGTCCGGAGAGATTCCTTGGCAGTTCCATGGACGTCAAAGGTCAGGATTTTGAGCTGCTTCCGTTCGGCTCCGGACGAAGAGCTTGTCCGGGAATGGGCCTCGGGCTTAAAACTGTTCAGCTGGCTCTGGCAAACTTGATCCACGGCTTCGACTGGAAAGCTAGCGGGCAGAATGCGCTCGAGGAAGCTGCTGGTGCCGTCATCTGGTTGAAGACGCCGCTTGAAGCAGTGGGTTCTCCTAGACTTCAAGTTGAGGTGCTCACCTCCTGTCATATTTGATTTGATAAATTCAGATATCAACTACAATCAAAATGCTACCTGTTTACTTCGTCGTCATTTTGTGTTGAGTTGCGTACGTGTCGGAGATCAGCTGCACCGAATCGGGCAAAGTTACATGGAAGAGCCGAGGTTTTGCTGTTCTTCGCGGCATTCACGACAGAAAGCAGCTTGTACGAGCGTCTTCTAGCAATGTCGTTTCCTCGTCAGCTCCAAAACTTTCTTTTGCTCTTGCCACATCCCAGCGCTGCCGTACAGATTCGCCATCAAAGAGTATGCTGCCGGGTGCTGAGTATCAGTCTCCAAAAACTTGTCAAACGCAACCTTCCCCATTTCCAGATCTTTCCACTTCAAACAAGCGCCTAAGATGGTCGTCCAAGTAACAGCAGTTGCAGGAAATGGCATTCTCTTCGCAGCTTCTGTAGCATCCTGTACCATATTAGCTCGTCCCAGCATGTCGATGAAACAATGATAGTGCTCGATCCCAGGTTGAATGCCAAACTCCCCAGATGCCATCCTTCGGAACAGCCTTTTTCCTTTCTCCACAAGACCAGCGCGGCTGCAGGCACTCAGGACGCACAGCAATGCGACTCCATCGACACCACCATCTTCTTTGGCCACCATCTCCTGAAAAAACTGTAGAGCCTGCTCCGTATCACCAGCAGAACTGTATCCAGCCAAGAGAGCGGTCCAAGTCACCGAGTCCGTGTTCTTCATCGAATTGAAAGCTCGACGAGCTTTGCTGGTGCTGCCGCACTTCCCGTAGAAGTCCACTAGACCAGTAGCAACAAACTCTTCGTCCTCGAGTCCGTTTCTGCAAATCTCTGCGTAAATTGCTGTCCCTTCTTCAAGAGCCGCCAGCTCTCCACAGGCCATGAGCAGAGCGACACAAGTCCGGCTGTTTGGCACAAACCGACCTTCCTCCCGCATTTGCTGGTACGCTGCAAGAGCCAGCTCCGCCTCACCATTCCCTGCATAGCCTACGATCAGCCCATTCCAAGCCACTAAGTCGTGAAAGGTCATCTTCTCGAAAACTGCTCGCGCGCTGATCATGCTTCCACACTTCCCAAACATCTCCACCAGTGCGCTGGCAACGAACACATGCACATCGAATCCACCTTTCTTGGCCTGTGAGTATATATCCGTTGCCTTCTGTAGCCACTCTACTTTCACCACCCTTCCGTTGATTCTCTCTCCTTCCACTTTTCCTGCTAGTCGACCACAAGCCATTGCTGCTGCTACAAAGGTGCCACCATTCGGTGTACAGCCTTCGCCTTGCATACGCTCAAACAGCTTCCAGGCCATCTCTGCGTCTCCGTTTACCAAGCACCCCAGAATGATAACATTCCACGAGACCACATCTCGTTGAGCCATCTGCTCGAAAACTCTGCGAGACTCTTCCAGGCTCCCACACTTTGCATACATGTCCACCATCGTGTTCGCGACCCGTAAGTGCGAGCTGAATCCCTGCTTTGCAGCCTCTGTATGTAACTTTCTCCCAACTTCAAGCATGACCTGTTGGTTGTTCTGGTGCCCAGCAAGATTCCCACAAGCCACCATCACTGCAACGAAAGTACGAGAATCTGGCAAGCAGCCTTCGTCCTTCATCCGCTCAAAAAGTTCCAAAGCCACTTCAGCCTCGTTACTCTCTGCATACCCCAAGATCAGCGCGGTCCAGGACACAACGTCGTGACGAGGCATGCTCTCAAAGACCGCAAAGGCATCCTTCAAGCTGCCACACTTGACGTACATGTCGATCAAGCTGCATGAAACGAACAAGTTTGAGCAACAACCACTAGTTGAAGCTTGGACGTGTACCTCTTTTCCTCTCTCCATGCTTCCACCCTTGACAAGCTTCCCGTTAAGTCTCTTCCCTTCTTCTTTGTCTGCCAAGTTACCACAAGCCATGAGCGCAGCGACAAAAGTTCGAGTATCTGCCTCCAGTTCCAGTGATGCCATGACAGAAAATAAATCCAACGCCAGCTCGCTCTCCCCGTTATCCACATATCCTTGTAGCAGTGCATTCCATGCTACAAGATCAGGTGACGGCATCTTGTCGAAGGCCATACGAGCGTCCACCATGCTGCCACACTTCGCGTACGTAGTAACGAGCATACTTCCAATGAAAACGTCCGAGCGATAGTTATTTGCCAGAGCTTGGGAGTGAATGGCCATTCCCTTCTGTAAGCATCCCATCTTCACAAGCTTCCCACCGACTTGCATGGCTTCTTCCTTTGTCGCCCAGCTGGAACAGGCCATCAGTGCAGGAAGATACGTTCGAGCGTTTGGTTCGCTGCCTTCTCGTCTCATATCTTCAAAGAGCTGGAGAGCAACTTCACACTCTCCATTGACTGCGTAGCCAGCTATGAGCGTGTTCCACGATATTACACTGTGAACCGGCATCTGGTGAAACACCTTGTGAGCTTCCGGCATGTTCCCACATTTCGCATACATGTTCACCAATGAGTTCCCCAGTGATGTATTCCACGGAAAGAGGCCGCTCTTCAACACAGTTGCATGAATTTCCTGGCCACCTTTTATGTCCTTCGAGCGGCCGCATGCTTTTAGTGCAGCCATCAGACTGCAGGCATCCACTGTCACCTTCTGGTTTTCGGGAGCATTCGCAAAAGGCAAGGAACTGGAACATCTTGATGATAGTTTTTGCTTGTAAACCCTCGTCCGACAGGTGAGCCGATACATTAGAAGTCATCTTCAGGCTGCAGCTTAGGCCATCTGAAACATAAAGAGCTTAGGCACAGATCAATTTGACCCAGGATTACCAAACGTACTGTGTTGTACTCGGGAAATAGTTCCTGGACGAACGTCTAAGGTAATCTTCGAACAATCTATTCGTTTTGAGAAGCAAACACATTAAAGTTAGCATGGATTCGCTGCCTAAATTTCTAAGTCACGCCAAGAGTATATACCTCTGCTGTTACTTTTGTTAATGCTCGCTAAGTGGAGGACCGTTGGGGGGCCAGGAGCTTCATATATGTTCGAGCACTTTCCCTCTCTCCGGGCAAGGAAAATGGCCGCCCCAAGGGAATGGATCCTCGCTCTCGTCCTGCTCATAATCGTCAATCTCTCCCTCAAAGGTATGAATCGAAAGAACGTACCACCTTGAGATTCTCTAAAGCGCTCCTCCATTCCAGCGTCCTCCACCAGCAGCATCGGCGTCAACTACGGAAGAATGAGCGATAATCTCCCATCCCCAGCCCAGGCAGCACAGCTCCTGATCCAGCACGGGATCACGAAGGTAAAGCTCTACGACGCTGATCCATCGGTGATCTCCGCCTTCGCCAGCACTGGAATCCAGATCGCCGTATCGATGTACAACGAAGTAATCTGGCAGCTGGCCTCGAGCCAAGAACAAGCCGATAGCTGGCTCGCCTCTGCGATTCTCCCTCACCTGGCGGCTAACGCAAGCATTGAGATGATCCTGCTCGGCAACGAGGTACTCACCCGCGCAGATCCAGCGCTGGCGCCCCAGCTCGTCCCGGCAATGCGAAATCTCCACAAAACCCTAGTCACCAGGGGCCTGGATTCCAGAATCAAGCTGACAACGAGCCACGCGATGGACGTCCTGGATTTCTCGCGCTCTTTCCCGCCCTCGGCTGGTATATTCCGCCCCGGAATGGAGGAGACGATGAAGCCCCTCTTGGACTTCCTGGCGGAGACCTCCTCGCCGTTCCTGATCGATGCTTACCCCTATTTCGCGTACAGGGACGACAAGGGGGAGCATATCGATCTGGAGTTTGCGCTTCTCGACCCCAACTCATCTGGGACCACGGATTGGATCACTGGATTGCACTACCCGACGATGCTCGACGCCCAGGTGGACACAATCTATGCCGCGATGGGCAGGCTGGGCTATGGCAACGGCGAGGTTCGTGTCATTGTTGGCGAGACTGGGTGGCCATCGGCAGGCGACGAGAGGAATTTCGGGGCTGGGATGGAGAATGCGAGGAAATTCGTGCAAAATCTCGTACGTAGGCAGCAGCAGGGACTAGGAACGCCATTGCATCCAGAAGTTTCCATTGAATCATACATCTTTGCGCTGTTCAATGAGGATTTGAAGCAGGGGAGCACAGCAGAGCGCAACTTTGGCCTCTTCTATCCCAACATGACACAAGTGTATAGCGTAGAGTTTTCTTTAAACATGTTTAAATAAACTGTGTGAGGGCCAAGTGTACGGCTATGATGCTGTATATTAATATTAGCATAATGGATTTTGGTAGCCGTCGGATTGGTTTCAATCCGGACCACTCGCTCTTGTATATAAGTTAGGGTTTTTGGGCTAATTGATATGCACATTTCTGTATTCCCTTTCCATATTTCATGCACTCACATTGGTGGAGATGAGGGGCATCTTTGATTGTCTCTGGGGAGTGCTTGGATTTGGGATTTCGGTTTAGATCTAGCTTTTGCATTGTCTAGATCTAGCTTTTTCCATTTCCTTTCTTTTGTTCTTTCCTTTCAGGATTTTGGTTTAGATTTAGCTTTTTGCATTGTCTAGATCTACCATTTCTTTCCAGCTTTTTGTCATTTCTCTTCTTTTGCTCTTTCTTTCTCATTCATTTTCATGGCCGATCCGCAATCTCCTCCTTTGACTCTAGAGCAGCAGTTGGTTCAATTGCTTGATGCTATGCGCTTGCAATTGAACAACCAAACTCAGTTGATGGCGGCGTTCACGGCACATGGTACAACTCCTCCTGCTTTTGGTGCCAATCCTCGCGTTCGGCCGGAGTTCTTTCATGGGAATCTTGGGGATGATGTGTACCATTGGTTCGATCACTTCACGGTGATTGCCACATATCATTCTTGGGATGATGCTCGACGTTTGCGTGAGTTCCCCACATGTCTTCAAGGGACGGCATTGCAGTGGTACAATGGATTGAGCGTAGCTACTCGTGGCGATTGGAGTGTTCTTCCGGACGTCTTCAAACGCGCCTTCGGACACGCCGACGATTGTGATGATGCCTTCCAACAATTGCATCGTCTTCGCCAAGGGCCATCTGAGTCGGTGATGCAATTTGGCATTCGTTTCCGAAGTCTTTTGCTTCGTGCAGAGCCAAATATGTCGGAGCGGATCAAGCTAGGTATGCTGTGGCTAGCACTTCGTCAAGATCTTGTCGGACTTGTGCATGCACTTGCTCCTGCCACTCTTGACGATGCTCTTCGCTTGGCACAACGTTATGAGACATCGCCTCTTCCACTTCTTGCTACACGTCCTTTAGCTCCACTTCCTATGAGTGATGGTCCTGTTCCCATGGAGGTTGATGCTGCTGCTACTCGAGTCCAAGGACAAGGGCGAGGACGTGGTCGTGGCCGTGACGTTCGTTGCTGGGCGTGTGATGAAGTTGGTCATACTTATCGGCGTTGTCGGCGCTTTCCGGATTGGCGACCTCCATTTCCTGGGTGGAGACCTTGGCGTCAGCAACGTCCCGTTGGTGCTGCTGCGGTGGAAGGTTTGGATACCGAGGTGCATTCGGGAAACGAGGAGTCGCGCGAGTAATGGAGGGACCTTGCGCGAATAAGTTAGTGACCCTTCCATCTTTCTTTCGGGAGTATCATCAAGGGGTTCACTCGGCACCGGTTCATCCAGTGTTTACTTTCCAAGCTCGTTTTTATAACAAGAGGTCTCCTATTCTTCTCTCCGTGTTGGTTGATATAGGTTCGAGTTTATCTTCTATTGCTCGACCTGTTGCCACATGTTGTCGTCTACACTTGCGTCGTGCGGCGGATCCAATTTTCATTCTTTATGGCAACGGCCGTACACATGCATGTGCACGAGATGAGGCGGACCTGGTTGTGCGTGTGGGTGATCTCGAGCTTGAGTTGCAGTCGTTGCGGGTGGTGCCGAGTCAAGCTTTTGACCTCATTCTTGGTATGGATTGGTTGCAGCACAATCATGCCAAGTGTGACTTTGAGGCTTTTCCCCCTTGTCTCATACTTCCTTATGTTTCATCCATTCCTCTCACTTCCGTACCTCTTCGTCCCTCTACTTCTACCTTTGCTTCCATTACTTTTGTTCCCCCATTATTTCCTCTTGTGTTTCCATCTTGTTCTGCTCTTCCCTTTTCCGATCCCTCCGATGATCTTTGTGTTGCAGCTGTTGACCAACTCATGAAGGAGTATTCTGATCTCTTTGAATTTGACCTATCGTCTGGGGCCAAGATTGCCACACGTCATCCCATTCCAACCGGGGATGCTCGTCCAATCAAGGTTCCTGTTCGTCGTCGGTCACCCAAGGAGATCAAGATTTTACGTGCAAATGTCAAGGAGATGTTGGAGAAGGGTGTTATTCGGAAGTCACGGAGTCCTTGGGCATGTGAACCTCATCTTGTGATGAAGCCTGATGGGAGTATTCGTTTCTGCATCGACTATCGTCCGTTAAATGAAGTGACGATCCCGGACGTGTACCCTCTTCTTCCTCACACTGCTGATCTCTTAGATCGTCTGGGGCGAAGTCGTTGGTTCACCAAGCTAGATCTTGCTTCTGGGTATTGGCAAGTACCGATGGCTGAAGACGATATTCCTAAGACTGCTTTTCATACACTATTTGGTTTGTACGAGTTTTTGGTGATGCCGTTTGGTTTGAACAATGCTCCAGCAACTTTTCAGCGGATGATGGACGAGGTTCTTTGCGATATGCTGGAGGTGACGGCTGACTTCATTGATGATGTCTTGATCCACTCGGAGGGGACGTGGGAGGAGCATGTTCGTGATGTTTGTAAAGTGTTGGATCGGCTACACGACGTTGGTTTAAAGCTGAAGCGGTCGAAGTGCGTGTTTGGGTCCAAGGACACAACTTATCTTGGGTACCGTATTTCTCGTGAGGGTTTGCAAGTTGATCCTGACAAACTTGTGGCTGTTCTAAAGTTCCCTACTCCGAAGTGTGTGAATGATGTGCAGCATTTTTTGGGTAAGGTGCAGTATCTCGGTCGTTTTGTGGATCATCTTTCCAATCGCACTATACCATTGCGAGCGTTGCTGAAGTCATCAACGTCATCTTTCATCTGGTCTCCCGATTGTGAGCGGGCGTTTGTGAATCTCAAAGAGCTATTGACGACTCCTCCGATTTTGGCATATCCTGACTACACTCGACCTTTTATTTTGCGCGTGGATGCTTCTGACATTGATCTTGGAGGTGTGTTGATGCAAGAGAGCTCGAGTGTGCCTGGTCAGCGCCATCCCATTGCATACATAAGCCGTACATTACAACCAGCGGAGATGAACTACTCCACAACGTAGAAGGAGTGTTTAGCAGCAGTCTGGGGTTTCGAGAAACTTCATGCCTATCTACATGGTTCTCGGACGTTACTTGAAGGTGACCATGCTGCTGTTACTTCATTATTGAAGCGGAAGAACCTGGTTAGTCGTAATGCTCGATGGGCTTTGAAGCTTCAGATATATGATTTCGATGTTGTTCATCGCCTAGGGAGTTCTATGGCTGATGCTAATGCCCTTTCTCGAGCTCCTCTTCCTTCTCCACTCACTTCTCATGTTTCTGACGAACCTGTTGTTCCAACATCTGTGGATTTTCTAGATGAGGATTCTGTGCCGTCGGCGGTTGCTGTCCTTGACGTTCAGTGTCCACAGGGCGTAGAGCAAGATCTACCTTCTCTGGATGAGGTTCGCGAGGCTCAAAAGATTGAGCCGTGGATTCGAAGGCTTCGAGATGGGTTTGAGAATCCTGCATCACTTGCTGATGACTTGCCTTTTCGGCATTTACATTCTCAATATCGCCTTGAAGATGGCTTTCTTTATTTTGTGGGGACGGATCCTGATGCTCATTTACGGCTGGTGGTGCCTTCGGTGTTTATTCCGCGGTTTCTCCATGCCTACCATGATTCTCCTATTCTAGGTGGGCATATGGGACACTGTCGTGTCACCGAGAAGCTGCGCAGATCTTTCTATTGGCCAGAGATGCGACGTGATATTATCCGGTATGTGCGTAGCTGCGTTTGGTGCCAAGCTCGTAATACTCCCCCTTGTGCTGCGGAAGGACGGTTGGAGTCAATTGCAGTTTCTCGTCCGTTTGAGTTGGTGGCGTTTGATCTTATGGGACCTTTTCCGCGATCGACTACTGGCAATGAGTATGTTATTATTGCTTCTGACTACTTGACTCGTTGGGTGGAAGTTGGTGCTCTTGCTAGTGCCTCTGCAACTGCTGTTGGATACTTCCTCCTCAATCGAGTGGTGTTCTAGCATTTTTGTCCAGAACGGATTCTTTCGGATAATGGTCCTGCATTTATGGCTGAGGTATTTCATGTTTTGACATCTCGGTTGGGGATACGCCACACTTTTACGAGTGCTTATCATCCACAATCAGACGGTCTGGTGGAACGGCTCGTTCGGACATTCAAAGGGATGATTGCGAAGTATGTGAACTTTCAACATTCGGATTGGGATGGTTATTTGCCGTCTCTTCGGTATGCTTATGTCACAGGGGTGTAGAGTTCTGTTGGTGCTTCACCATATAAACTTCTATATGGTCATGATCCAATATTACCAACAGAGCTGGGGTTACCTTCGCGATTGCCATGAGCTCCTGATGCTAGGTCATGGGATCAATATTTGACAAGCATTCTTCCACTTGTCCGAGCAGAGTCTGTTGAACACTTAGGCCGTGTACAAGTGGGACAACAACAACGCTACAATTCCCATCATCGTCCACCAGCGGAGTACAAAGTGGATGATTTAGTGTTAGTCCGTTTTCCCCATCTTACGGTACGTGGTTTATCTAAGGGGCTCCTTGCGCAGTGGAAAGGACCGTATCGGGTGTTGCGGCAAGTTGGACCACAAGTTTATGAGGTTCGGCATGACGTTCAGCAGGCCGATCCTCCGGAGATTGTGCATGTGCAGCGGTTAAAACGCTTCATACAAAGGGATCAAGAGCAGTTAATACCGTCTACAGATCCACCGATGCCTCCTCCTGACGTTCCTCCAGATCCCGGCCCATCTACAAGAGAACCCTGACGGCCTTCCATTATTCCGAGAGGAGGGGATGATGTGAGGGCCAAGTGTACGGCTACGATGCCGTATACTAATATTAGCATAGTGGATTTTGGTAGCCATCGGATTGGTTTCAATCCGGACCATTCGCTCCTGTATATAAGCTAGGGTTTTTGGGCTAATTGATATGCACATTTCTGTATTCCCTTTCCAT